CTATTTGTAACAAAATCACTGTATCCTACAAATGTATGAATCCGAGAAATTTCGGCAGTTATTTGTAGTCACTTTCACTTGACCATACAACTGTCCATCCACCCACCCATCAGTCTGCACCACAGGCATACAAATGTAAAGCAACTCTATCAACAGGTATGGCAACTTTATGCAACTCAAGGGTTTTTTTGGCAGGAAATCACATGGTCACCTGCTTTGTGTGAAGCAGAGACAACTAAAGAGTCAATAAAAACAAAACAGAAAGTGGAAATTGTTTCTGTATCCATGTTGTATAAAATATTAAGCTTAGATTAACTGTCATGTACAACAATCAAGCCACAAAAAGGGAAAAAGAAGCAGAAAGCAGACCATCCCTTTCTTTTCCTGTTATTCTACCTTTTTCCACTTACTAGCTCACAGTCAACTACCTCATTACTACTGTATGAAAGGATGCAGGGATGGAAGGAAGCTTAGTACATTGTATCTTTGGAAATAAGACAACGCACCACAAAGCAGAGGAAATGCTCATCTGAACATGTATTTCACTCCATAAATCATTATTTTTTATACCATCAGTTTCATACTCATGCCCCCTACCCTTCCACTCAGCTTGCTTTTAGACTGTACTATGATCATACCTTGCTCTTTTGCTTTGCATCTTTTGCACCAAACTTCATGACAGCATAACCAAGCTTATCTTCTTCCCATTTCTTTTGCTCATAATTAGGTCCCAATTCTTCCACTGTTGTGTTGTCATACTTGGCCGGTTTCTTATTCTCCTGGGGCATCTCATACCTCTGTACTTTCTCTAGTTCTCCAGCCTTAGCATGTTCCACTGCCAAGCTGTAAACCTTCTTCTTGTATTCTCTGTCTCGCTTCTCCCGTTTGCTGAGCTGGGCATCTTCAAACAGATACTCATCATCAAGGATGTCTTCTTGTAGCATTTCAAGCTGGTCAACTCTTCGTTTCTTGACATAATCTCTGCGAGACTTTTTCCTAAGATCAGGAATCTGGCAAAAAAAATTAATAAAAGTAAGTGAAGACTTCACTTCCTAACTTTGTTCTAAAATAACACTTATGACAAAAAAGCAAGAAAGTAGTTTCTTTCTTTTTTTTGGAAAGCAATTTGTGATCAAGACTATTTTATGCTTATGACATAAACTATTCTGTAACTGTGAAAGAGGGTTGAAAACTGCATCCTTCTTATTATCTATTTTTTTTAAATTTGGGGAATTTCTTTATTGAAGGAATTTCTTTATTGAAGGTTCATCAAATTCTCAATGGTCTTGCTTCCTCTGATTTTCAAATACCTGTCCCTTCAACCCGCTTTCTGTGTCAAGACATTATTACATATAGCCTGCATCACAAACCGATGTAAATTAACCCCATTAGTCACTTATGTCTAGGTTAGTAACGTCTGCAAGGTAGTGCCGAGATCCTTGTCCTGGGCTCCTAACGGACTCAATGAATTACCGGAAATGTGTTTCGAATTTCGTTTCATTCTGATTGGCAAACCAACAATGGCTTCTTTTAAAAGGCCAATAATAGCATGTACTCAAATCCTGGTACACAGCTGAGAGCCCAGAACAAGGATTTTGGCGCTGTGTTGCAGACAGACTTTACTAGAATTTAGTTTTGTCTGTAACGCATGCTATATTACGCTTAGGTAGAAGAAACACTCTCTTTCCTAGTGATCGAAAATTATTGTAAATTGACACCTACTACACTCCCTTCTAATGTTTCCCTAGTAGTGCTTAAAAAGAAATGTGAAAATGACCCAAGCTTTTATTGTTATATTTATTAATTTAATAACTTAATGCTGTGTATATGTAACAAAATCAGGCTACAAAAAGCTCAATGCAGTGCCATCCCAGATATTTCCAAATTTTAAACATGTTTACTGAACAGAAAGAGGTTCTTTTGCTCACCATTTTCTTCCTGTCTTCTTCATCCATTTTAAGCCTTTTTGCTGCCTCTTCAAATGCCTGTTGGTGCAAAAATATAATAATATACAGGTATTTACATGTACAATGGCTGTCCCCAAGCAAACCACTCATCATTAAGCTTCAACATGGATACATTATTTTATAAGCCTTACAAATCATATAAATTCTTTACATCAATGATTACTTTTTTGTATACGTTGTGGTTAAATTTTTATGTTAGGTAATTTTTGTTTTTCTTTTGTTTTGGGTATGGTTATGTATACTCATAAAGTTGAAACAAAGGGAAAATAAAAATTACCTGAGATAAAACATAAACTACAACGTATACATCTACATATATAAGTAAGCTTTTTGAAGCGTACAGAGCAAGACACTTGAGATATAATTTTTGTGGACCGTGGCCAAGAAGCCAGAGAAAAGTGTCAGTGGATGCTACACCATGGAATACTGCGAATGGCCCTGAATATGCACTGGCATCAACATATGAACAACCAGGAATTATACGGAAGCTTCCCAAGAGTCAGTGAAACAATTTGTGAGAGAACATTAGGATTAGCTGGCCATTCTACATGTCACAATGAAGAGACACCTTTAAAAGTGCTGCTTCGGGAACCCCAAAAGTGCTGCTTGAGAGCCCCAACACGGTCACCCAAATCAAGGTAGACCAAGAACTACATATATTGACACCACCAAGGCTGACACTGGACTGGACAATACCGAAGAAACAACAAATTTAATGGCAGCTTGATCAGGTCATGTGGAAAGATTTTGTTAGGATGGCTCAGGATGATTCCCAGCCTAAGTAGGTAAGTAACTAACTAACTAAGTAAGGCAAACATGGGTGCTTCTTATGGCAGTTATAACTTGATAAGTAAGTACGTAACTTTATTTCATAAAATTTTCAATGATTTGGGATGTGGTCGCCCAGTCTCAGTGCGATAAAAAATCAGAAATTGTGTGATATTTTCAGGGTAGATTGTGCGATAAGATAGGACTATTATCCAGTAAATTATGCGGTTTTTTCACGGCTAAATTGTTTTACCAGGTTTCAAAGGAGAAAAACCACTTTAATGTTGTTTAATGGGCAATCAGAATGTAAAGGAATAATAAAACATCTATTTTAAAATAAAATAGTTTAATTTGTCCGACTATTTTGACACGGAAAAGAAAATGAACACTTGCTTAATATTACATGACGCTGTTACACCGGTGACCACACTGCTTGTCTCTAAAATCAAAATGGCTGCCCAGATATTGCGATTGAAGGTTTCAGATGTCTTGCAAGGCTTTGTTTAGTGGTAAATCACTTTAAATAACCTTAAGATTGGGAAAATGTTTCATTAAAGTTAGAATTCATTGTTTACTTTACTTGAATTTAGCATTTTTTTAGAACTTATTTGATTTTCCCCAAATTGTGCAATCGGATGCGATTTGAGGTCAATTGTGTGCGAAATCGCACCATCGCGTAATATCAGATGGCCTGATAAAATGCTCAACCACTTTGATCTTACAAAGGCTGTATATCAAGTCTTCTGTGTCAAACGTACAAAAGAGGTTATACCCTGTACAATGTACGTACTCAGTTTTTCCTGAGTAAGTAAATTCTAAAAAATTAAACTTTCATGTGTAAGCTAACTAAATACAATATTTGTTTAAGTAGTCTCATACTTCACCAAAAATACCCAACCGGCCTGTACCAAGCATCAGATTCTATCAAGTAAACACAATTAACAGTCTTCTGGGTCTCTACTTAATAAAAGTTCCATTGTATCCATACCTTTTTGTCAGATCTTTCCAAAATATTCCTTGTTTTTTCCTTGTCCCGTTTCTTTAACCTATCAGCAAATGCATCTCTCTCTTCCAAGTCTACCTTCCTCTCTTCTTCCTCCTTTTCCCACTCATCTACATCAGATTCATCGCTCTTTTCCTTTGAGGCAGTATTAACTATGGAGGGTTCCTCATCCGAACTAGAAGACTCTGTTTTCCTTCGCAAATGCTTTCTTTTTCGATCTTTCTTTGATTCCTTAGCTTTGTTGAGCAGCTCTTCGTCGTCGTCATCATCAGATACGAGAGTGTATTTCATGTATTTCTCTCTCTGCTCAATAAGAGCTCGTTCCCTTGCCCTGTATGGGTGTTCAGCAGGTTGGCTTTTGTGAGGCAATTTTCCCCAGAGTTCAGAGGCAAATGATGCCATCTTATCATCGCCACTAAAGCCTTCAGATACTCGCTGTATAAGGGAATCTGGACTGGTGGCGTTTTTCGCCAGCTCGATGAGATATTCAACAGTATGCTTATCCGAAAATCCAAGAACATCGTGAAGTTTGTCAGACACCCACGTCGTTAACTCCGCCATCTTATTGCTTTCTAAGGAAGGGCACGTGAAAACATCTTTACAAATACCCTGTGGATCTTTTTCTGTAAACAAAACGATAGCAAGTTTCTCACAGTGCCTTCAAAGCTTACAATGTAGTTGTTTTCACGGAGTACGTTCTGTATGTCGTTGTCGTACGTCGTCTATCATCGTTGGCCATGTTGATTTGTGGTCGGCCCGAGGTGATTCCTGGAATGTTTGATATTGCGGGCGCTAAGTTGCGTGACTTGTGTTGTGTGTCCCCCGTGATGAGGGTAACCAAACCGAAATGATGGTAGATCAGTTCGTAATTCGCAGAGCCACCGAATCAGACGCCGAAAACATCTACGACATCCACGTTGCGGCGATTAGATCAAAGTGCTCTACTCACTACAGTGCAAAGGATGTCGATATTTGGGTCGCAAGACAAGACAAAGCACGATATCTGCCTTTTATACAAGCAAATGAGATACTAGTAGCCGAAGGTGAAGAAGGGAAAATTCTTGGGTTTGGTCACCTGACGCGTGATGCAAAAGAAACTGATGGAAAAACCATGCAGATTAGAGGCCTGTTTGTTGACCCTGACTGCGGGGTTAAAGGCGTAGGCTCTACGCTTTTGAAAGAGTTGGAGAAGAAAGCAAAAGAACTTGGTGAAGTTGACACGATAGTTGTTCATTCATCGCTCAATGCTGTTGAATTTTACAAGAAATATGGATTCATTGCGCAAGAGATTACTACCCATCAAATGTGCGAACAGTCGTCTCTCCAGTGTCACAAAATGATTAAGAAATTTTGAAAATTGATGAGTAGTTGAATCCAACCTCTGTCACCCATGGGGATGGGGTATGTAGAAGTTGGCAAAATAACGCAAGTAACGCAAGCGTTAATTGATTTTCGTGTTATTTGAATATTACTAGGAGACAGAGTAACACGCGCTACGTATAGGGTGAAAGTAATTTATACGATATCTATCATAGACAATAATTAGATACCTGTAGCGGGAAATACAGTACAATTATTTTAGGCCAGCAGGTTGCATTGCACAGAAACAATAAAATTGGACCGCAGGAAACCCAAGCTCAGGACAGTTAAGGGAGTTACGTGTGGTTCAGCATTGCATCTTAAAATGGCCGCAAAAATAACGAATTTGGAGATTTAATGAGATAGCTTTTTGAAAAAGTTCTCAATAAAAAGATCATATTTTAATTTACATGTCGATACATGGTTTTTTCTTGCTTTCAGTGTCTGGCTATTTTCCTGGTCCAATGTTTCAGTGATATCATAAGGGCGTATTCGAAATCGCGATTTTTAGCGCCACACAATATAACAACATTGTTGCGACGTTGCTTCGATTGTTAGCAACATTGTTCTAACCTTGCAACGCTGTGTCGTCATTGCGAATCGTCCTATGTACCTTCAGAATGAAGTCGAAAGAATGTCGGGATAAATGCTGCTTTTATTAATCTTTCAGAGGTTACAACCTGTCAGTTTACAGCAGAACAAAATAATATTGCTAAAGAAGATAATTTGACTTCAGGTGAATACAACCTCGGATAACTCGGGGTGACCGCCTTTTGTAATAATTAGGACTGCGGTGCCGGGATCTCTTCTACGTAAATCCGGGATACTGAATTCCAACCTGTGTACGCATCAGCTCCTTTGATTCCACGGCAATTGCCGACATGAAAACCGATCCTTATGTTTCCAGCGGTGTGCTTGTTGCAGACTCCCTCAATATGACGAACACGGTGCAAATCTTTAACTGCATTTGGGTGTGCACCTGTGGCCATGTAGACCACACCCTCGATCGGCAGAGGAGCTGAACACTCCGCATCATTGAACGTGAAAAACCAACGCATGCAGCAGCCGTTGCAGTTATAGATCCGAAGTGCGCCACTCCAGAAGACATGAAGGCTGGTGGCTGATGACGATTTTTTGAAGTTACATTGCTGTAGTATTTTTTGAAGAAAGAATAACGTGAAAAACCGCCATTAGCAATACGGATTTTAGCTGTGAATTTATCCTACGTTCCCCCGCCTCACCCCAACCCCCGATGCGACGAACCTTTCTTGGCATGTGAAAATGAAGAGCTATAGTAAGTATGTCGGAAAGTCATCGCATCTACCCTGAATGCAATAGTACTATACACCAAGCATATTTCCTGGAAAAACTCATATCGTATCACTGTGTCTTAAAAAGCAAGGTTAAAGGGGCGATTTTAGTCCGCGTTTATCGAAGCCTGTTACTCCTGTTAATAATCATTGCTTCGGTGGTTAAAAACGTCAAAAAATAATTTCAATGGAAGGGAAAAGTTAAGAGGTGAGTTGCCGTTTAACTCACAACCCAAACAAACCTTCCTTATCGACCTCGCCATTCCTGGCATGTACGATTTCGTTAGACTTTATTGTAACTGAAACTTGTATCCAAAGAAAAGAAGAGACTCTCTTAAAATCCTGCACTTACGTCCAAATAATACGACAAAGATCAAGAAAAAGATTAACCTCCTCGATCATTCAAAACAGAACTGCTGGAATTTAGGGCTCAAGCGGTAGCAGTAAATACGCATAGAGGGAGAGCTCATGCAAAAAACTTGTTAGAGACATTTAGATTTAAGGACGAGGACGACTGCGAGTATTAGATTTGACTTAAAGTTTTTTCGCGTATTCTCAAAATATAGACTCCCCGGAAAGCTTCATTTTACCATGTTTCACTAGAAAAGTTAGCACTGTTACCTTTAGTGACGGAGGTTACCCTTTCCCGATCGCAAAATGATAATATTTAAAACTACTAACATTTCAGCTCAGACATTTGATAACTTGTTTCCGCCACTTAGACATTCTCGCTAAAACTCGTAGCAGAGTGACGACGGCTACCATATTTTCCCGCTAAAATGACGCTGGTTCACGCGCGTGCACTACTTAGTACTGAGAAAATCTCGTACTCGTATTCGTACTCGTCTTAGAATCTGAAGGTCTCTTCTTAGCACCCAAAAGCGATGTTCACTAGTTGGGGTCAATAATTCAGGACTCAGTATTAACCGCCGAAATATCAAATAAATTTAAATTTACCGCGATTAATCCAGCGTCCTTTCCATCATTGAGGTGATTGAAAACACACTGTTTCCAGTTCAGACCGCCTGAGGGTCCTTGAGGACCTTGGACGCCTCTGGCCCCTTGATCGCCCTTGGGACCAGCAGGACCCGGTGGTCCTTCGCGACCTGCGGGACCTTGAGGACCTGCCGGGCCATTTTGTCCTTGAGGTCCCGGTGAACCCGGTATGCCAGGGATACCTGGAACGCAACAACTGCCACGTCCACAATGGGTTGACGAAGAGCTCTGGAAATTTCAATCAATAAAACAGGCTTAAGAAAAATATGAAATATTGGTTGACCTTTGCTGAAACAAAAAGGCCCAGTTTTTAAGTCGTGAGTCTGCCGATTTTTTAATTCAAAGGCGGCAGGAATAGAGACGACGTGATGTAAAATTTAGGGAAAAATTAGCAGCCCAAGTTTTGCTTCATAATTAGACTTTCGCCAGAAGAAGGCCGCAAACGTCAGTTAATGTGTAATTTGTCAGTATATGTAAACTGAACGACCTGAAATTTAATCAGGACTGACTCTTGCAGAAAGCTAGACTGTAATATCGCTTATGATTTCCCAGCTGTAAATAATAACACTCGAATTCTTTGTCGTGACAATTGCGGAAAGATCACGGCACTTAAAGTGCAACTAGTTTCTACAGTTATGGAAAGAATCTTAACAAAAAATGTTTATTATTAGGATTAACATTGTTTCTGAACTGTTTTCTTGAAAGTTGTTCACACGACTTAGTTCGAAATTTAGAGCTAGTTTTATGCATAGATCAGTGAAAGCCCATGAAAGCCATCGTTGGGCAATCGTTGGGCTATCTTCCTTCAGGTTTCATAAACGTGATTGTCTTTATGATTCTCAAAGGTTCTACTAGTAGGCCTATCTGCCCGTAAGGGGAAAAAGCAGGCTAATAAAAGACTTCTACAGTGCAGATACAGGGTAGAGCAATCCAGCACATTAAAAAGAGCACTTGTTTAAAACGCTTTGTTCGACGGTGTCAATGAAATGCGAAAGTACTAATCGAGAACCGCTATTTTACTTGGTTATTGGAGCCACGTTAAGATCGTACCATCATTGTTCAGTTATTTCTCTTCCTCAAGAGCCTGAGTATTAGTCCAGACACTGGAATCGAACAAACCACGACATCTCGCTTTGCAGCCAAGTGCTCTACCGACTGAGTTAAACTTGCCGCGATAACAGTAAAAGGCTAGTCACTCTCATAAAGAAAAACAGCCGGATTTTTACAAAGCCGCAATTTCGCCGCAGCCGAGAAGGCTACTGTCTAAAGTGAAACAAAATATAATTAGGTATTTTGATTAACAATTATATTTTCAGTTTTTCAACATTTTTGCGCAGGAGTGAGCTTGATGAATAGGGGTTGGTATCACTTACCTGTTTTTCGTTGCTGTTTCCTGCTGCATATATCAGACAGAAACAGGGCAGCAGAATAACTGCTACGTGGGCAAACTGAATGGTCAGCACCATCTTCATTCAGAGTTACAAAGCGCACGAACTGAAGAGTATAAGAAAATAAGGTATGAAACTAAGAAAAAGGTACGCCTTCTTCTACGTGCGACAAGGATCGCGGTAAAGCATCTGCTAATGTTTATCGCATTTCAACACATACGATCTTTAGTGTTCTAAACCTCTCAGTATTAGGCAGTTAGGGAGCTTAAGCAACGACAACGGCGACGGCAACGAGAACGCAAAAAAAAACTAGGTTTAGATAAGCAAAACAACTACTTTGCACGCGCATCACGCTTTTCTGTACATTTCTCTGCCGTCGTTGCACCTTTTGTGGAGAACGTGGACACAAGACAACGACTTTCTTTTTCTTTTTCTGAATTTCGATACAGTCTTTAAAAATTCAACTCCAGAAAAAATTGCCAACATATGACGAACCGAACGAGATGGAATAAGCGTGAAAAACTTTGAAGTAGCGCGACCTCGGCCCCACTTAATAAGCGACGTTTTTCGTTCGTAGCCGTCGCCGTCCGATCGTTGTTGCTTAAGCTCCCAAATAACTGAACATTTTAAAGAGGAACAGTCAGTTTACTACTCTCCAAGTCACTAGCAGAAGTATATCTCCCGTATATTTCATAATTTTTGTAGCAAACCGTGTCTTTGGGGTTTCTAGAGCGAACTCGAAAAAGTTCTGAAAACTTGGACGTTTTTTTAGCCTGGCACAAGAACTCCCGAAAAAATAGGGTCATTTTAAAAGAAAACTGCTTTGAGCAATTTATAGTAGTCTAGCGGAGTGAGTTTTAAGATATTCCCGCTCCCCGTCTCCAACACTAAGGTAAGTTGCAACACTAAAATGTTACATACCAATTTATGCTGAAGTCTTACGTCCAGTTATCAAGAGGAAAAAATGCACCTGAATACGCTTGGACAAGCACCTTTATATCAAGCAACTGAAAAAAATACTAGCTATATAAACAAGAAAATTGCTTTTAATTAAACACTGTTTTCGTATTTAAACATGTTTCCAAAAACAAGACCAAATCAGTTATATGGCAAATAAGGGCTTTTTACAAACTCAGAAAGTGTAAACTTGACATTTATTACTCATTTGCTCTAGTTTATAGGTTTATTTATTTTATTTGTGGGAATCCTATAACCAACTAAAGCCAACGATCTTTTTCTCAAGAGTTCTAGAGTAAGGATTGGAAAGCTCATAGTTCTCCACTTTGTCAACCTCAGCCATACATAAATATTTTTGTGCAACTATAATCTCAGAACAGCCAATTTTAATAATGAAAATTTAATCATTGCTGGATCAACATACTGACCATGGTCCTCTATGTGTAGAAGTCAGCCTCTGAGTTCTTTTGGCATGCAATAATGAGAATATTGAATGCGTTACGGCACATACACATTGATTTGGCTAAACGCCCTGAAAGGCAAGAGTATATAACTTACGAAGAAATTTCAGAGATTTTACGCAGTTATGTAAAAGAAATTGTTTGTCTCATAGCTCAGGAATTTCCCCTTGGACTATGGCTACGTGACTGAACAGTTCTCGAATTAGCGGTTTAAATTAAAAGTGAATAATATCGACTGTTTTGTTTATCTCCTTTTTTCCAATATTCGAATTGCTGAAAGTGCTAGTAAATACTACGTTTATCCCAGCAAACATAATAACACGGCATAATTTCCTTGTTGAAATTAGTGTTTAGTCCTTCTCATTTTTAGAAAGCCATGTGTATTGACAACTACAGAAAATGCCATAACATAGCACAATACTCTTCGTTGGTCACTCCAAAACTTTACATAAGCATTGTCTTCAGTTTCTCTTGGGAGTTAGAATGGCCCCAAGAGAAACTGAAAACAATGCTTATTCAAAATTTTGGAGTGACAAACACAGATTATTATGGTATGTTATGGCATTTTCTGTAGTGGTCAATTGCATTAACTGGTTTCGTTGACATCTAGCACGATCTTGATTCGATTGCCCTTCCTGGGACAGCCTGAAAAAATAAATTCTGGCGGATCCAAGGAAGGGTCAGAGAGGTCGGGAACACCCCACCTCCAATTTTATGTTTAAAGTACCGATTACCCTCTGAAGAGTCCAGTGAATTTGTTGCATACAACTTCCATCTCCTCGTTTAAAAATACAACTTGCCTTTCACGTTGTCTTTCAACTATGGGGTTTGATCAATTTGATTAAATCTGGACAAAGATATTTTATCACAAAGCACAAGGGACGATTGGTTGTTACGAGAACGGAATATCACATGTTCACATGCCTTTTACTGCTGTAATAGAAACCGATGTGTAACCGCATAGAAGGATGGAAATTATTGGGCCGGTTATTTAAACAAAGTTTAAGTTAGGCCGCGGTTTAGCAACTCTTTCAACCACCAAATTTCTCCCTTAGTAGGTAGTAATTTTAAGAAAATAATTGTCTTTCTAGTCTGCGCCTATATGATTTCATAAAAATTTTCACGAACTATGGTATTGAGATAAAAGCGTTTGTCGGCAAACTGAAAATGGTTTAGGACACGGTTTTTTTAAACACTGGCTAAACTCCGTTTAAATAAGTCTGGCCCACTGACTTTTACTTGGTCCGGTGCGCAGGTTGGAAACGGCCTGAGCAAAAATATCCGCATCCGCCTCGTAGCATTTTAAAGAACATTAACGTCAGAGACCCTGAATTATATAAATCAGAAATGACAGACCTGTCCCGTCCCGTTAGTTGAAGCCTTAAACCACAGTTAGCTTGCGCTAACATGAGATCCTTGAACAATTAGGCTCTCAGGCTATAACAGTAAGCCTTCTGATTCAAAACTGGAGCGAACTGGCAGTAACAGAACCGAAAGCGAACCTTGAACTGCCTGAAAGACAAATACGGGTAACAGCTTTTGCGTAAGGATCATGTGACAAAGTTTGATTGGAATAAAAAATTCTATAAAGTTGCTTTTCTTAAACTTTATTGTTTAATCGGTAAGTTCATTCTACAAATTCTAACTTCTCATGATTTTTTTTCTTAGTTACAACTCAGTTTTTTAAAGGTATACAGATCAACAGGACGGAGTTCAAGAATTTAAAATGCTTTTAAAATCACGAACTAAGACAATTTTGCTATCAGGGCGTCTTTGGGGGTATGTGTGGTCAGTCAAGTTTACTGTTGTGCTCTCGCCACTTCTTCAATGAAGATCCGGGACATTGTGGTCCAGCCTATGTATGCGTCAGCAAGTGCATGGCCATTATTGCAGTTTCCAACCCAGAACCCCACTCGCACTCTTCCCTTATGATTGTTATTGCAGTGTCCTTGAATGTGACGGTGACGGTGAAGGTTTTTGCCAGCTGCTGTTGCCATATAGTACGCGCCATCAATTCTACCAGGAGAGCTACACTCAGCGCCATTGAATGTGAAATACCAACGACTGCAGCAGTTGTCACAGGAAGCAATGCGAAGGTTACCAGCGAAGTAGACATGGAGAGCCGTTTGTGTATAATTCTTCATGAACTGACAGCTCTGCCGCAAGGAAAATAGAATGAGTGATATGATTGATTGGTGTTAAATAAAAAAATGAGTTAAAGTTGATTAATATGACAGTGCTAACAGAACGCGGCACATAAAGGAGCGTCATTAGAAACATTTGAAACTAAA